TTTCGTTGGTGCTACGGTGCTACCTGTGAAGCTTGTATGATGCTTTTGGTAATGATAATGGCCTGGTTGCAGTGTCCCAAAGGTTGAGGTCTCTGAAGAACCTTTGTTGTCATGATGTTTGTTTTCCATACTGCCCCCCCTGAGATTTCTGACGATATTGAGACGCACTGACGACGGTTTTGCGTCATGACCATTTCCCTGAGATGAATTACTTTTGCTCCGTAAGTAGGTTCATTTAGGTTCCATGCTGGCCGTTCTGAGGAATGGGAGATCAAGTATGAGATCATCGGGACACAGGACCGGTTCTCCTGGACCTGTTTGGCTGTGCGGTGTCCAGTGTCTTGAAACCCAGCCAGCCATCGATTTCATCGAATCGGGTGCGTAGGGCACACTGCGAAGACTCACTTACATTATACATATATATATATAATATATATTAAGTATATTAGCCCATTCTGTTTGGCCATAATCAAGGGGCTCTTGCAATGTTAGGACTGGCCGCTGGCCCTTACTTCGTTGGGGCTTTGGCTTTGGGCCACATGGAACTTTGGGCCACTGGACAGGGTCAACCACTATTTTCACCGAACTTGGAGTCCACAACCAGGACCCCAAGACGCTGGACTGCCATAGTGCTTGTAACAGGGCCCCTTCCATCACGCCTTTAGGTTTGCATCCATGTGGGGCGATTGGTTTCAATTCCATATTTGCCAGTCTGAGAGGCGGCCATTGGGGGTTCTTCTCCCCACCTGCTTGAAGACACACCTCTGAAGACACCCAAATCGCTATGCTGCGAACGGACTTCAGGACGTGTCCTTGGCCAAGCATCTGGCAGATCAATCACTCTTTGCACCTGTGGTGAGTGAGCACAGTGCCATGGCCGAAAGGAGTGGGGCCTTGGAGGTGGGGCCGAAAGGAGCGGCGCAGGGTGAGAAAATGGGGGAGCGGCGCAGGGTGAGAAAATGGGGGTTCGAATATGGTTAAGCCATTGTAAACCACTCACCGAATTTCTGTAAGGAAGAACTCCGCCAAAACACAAGATTCTGATAGCAGGGCTTTGTAGATACAATATAGGAATTACACTAGCATTTGCGTTCTTTTTTTGTTGGCCTGGGTTGCTGTATGAATCATTGACACTGGCCAGCCGGGGTCCGGGCAAAGTGTCATTTCCTGGAATCCTTGCCGCGCCTTCTTTATCTCAACTATGCCAACAAAGATGTCAACTACACGCCAACATCCTTGTGGTGCGACCCGGCAGGCAACAAGAAGGCTTATCCCAATGGCATGATCCAACCTGCCTTGGCCTTCATCCGCAGCAGTGACCGGGCGGTCATTTTTAGCAGCTTGGCTCAGCTCTCTTTACCAGCACTTTCGCGATACGAAGGTCTAACATTCTATTTTGGACCGCACGTGTCTGGTAGATCTTCTCTAAACATCTCAAGACCCTGGGTTGTGTTCGTTGACGCAGTTGACGCGTGTTTTGTAAGCCTAAACTCGGATCAACTCAACTGTTTCTGATACAAAGCCCAGCGTTCAGAGCCCCCAGTGCATCGATTTTGCCGTGTCACCTAGGCTGGGTTTGCATCCCCAACAGGTCGAACATAGGAGGTGCCACCTACAGGCCCAAGCCCCTGGAGGTTTGGCCTCTTAGCTGCAAAGCGCAGGGGCAGAAATGGTCACTTCATGTTGGGACATGGGACATCATGGGACCTTTCAGCATAGGGGTTTGGACGATTCAGCATGCTCCGACTTCCAACCAATTTGGGCATACACTTGCATGTGTGGGTACGGAATGCGAATTTTATTTGCGCAGAAGTGAAGGATCTCCAACTATGCAGTAGATCTTGCACCCTTAGCATTCTTGCAACTCCCGGAGCTTCAAGAGACTCGGATCAACTGCAAGTTGTCGAAGATCGTTTACTCAGATGCCCTCATGTTCACATCAACGATCCCCTGCTATCCACTCTCAAATCCCCGCTATTCACATCATTCCACCCTATATTCAGTCCTTAAATGCCATGAAACTTCGTGGCCTGACTTACATCCGACACCTGACCGACACGTGCGACACGGTCATATGACGTCCCGGAAACGTCCCCAGGCAGGCGGTGGCGCCCAAGTTGCAGGCGCCCAAAAGCGAGCTGCCGGTGTCGGCTGAGACCCTGGCCCTGTTTTGGTCGTTCTGGGTCGATCGTGGAGTGAGTCACGGGGTGGGGTGATGGAGTGTCTTTCTGTTAGTTGGGTTACACTTTTTTGGGGGGGTGGGGTTGGCTTTTTCAAAGGTTGTGTGTCGGGGGGGTTTTGGGGGCGGAGATGCGCATCTCTGCGCCAGATGATTCCTTGTGAGTTCAGGATGGTTCAGGTTTTTGCTCGTGGGGGGCTCTTGCTTGAGGGAACTAGTAAGATCTAGCAATGTGACGGTTTATAGCTGAGAGACATTACGATCCTGGGTTTGTAGAAATTGTTTGAGAATACACGTCCCAGGATGTGTCCTGTGTCTTACGATTAATCGAATTTGGTGAGATCGCCGTGTTATGCGCGAAGTGTTAAGGTCATTCATTGTACGAATTCACGATCGAAGGGGTGAGTTGAACAGACAAGGAATGGACCATCCCTCGCAGTTGAGTATTGAAATATTGCCTGAGACGAAGACGGCGTTGGAAACCTGGTGTGGGTCTGTGAGGTTAGAGATGGCATGGGTTTCGTTTGAGCGCCTCCTTTCCAAAGAAATTGACTTGGTGGCGTGCTGTAGAAGGTTGGCATTTGAACGTGCCCGTTTGCCATGGAAAAATGGCCGCATGTTTGTTTGGAGGGTCAAGGAATTTATATGTTCCGGCTTCCCTCACATGCGTACGCTTGCTTGTCCTGGTCGTTTGACCTCCTAATACTCTGCTAAGGAAGATGTCCATGGACGGCATCTGGCACACGTTGCTTGGATTTTGCATCAGGTTGACAGCAAAAAGGATTGTTTGAACTTTCTGTGGAAGCCAAGTCCAAGGTGTAGGGGTGCTACGGGCAGACCTGGGCGCGATGGCCACTTCATATATTTGCTTGATATTCTCCAGCTTGTTGGATGTCTCAGGTTCAGGTTGAATCACACACACACACACAAAGCTAGCAGCTGTTTGCAGTTGGCAGTGCCGAATCTTTTGCACCCCTCAACCTACCGTTGAACCTGCACCTTCGCACCGTGAAAGCTTCATAGTCCGCTACCAACTCCACCGAGAGTTTTCTGCTTAGATACTTCCCCATCACTTCGGACACCCGAGGGTCCGCCGCTTGCTCTGCTGCAAGTTGTGAGCGCCCACGGCATGAACGGTGTTTTCGCCGGTCTCTCCGGGTTGTTCTGGCCCAGACCAGTCAGGGCCAGCGAATGATGGCCAACCAATGGTTTCTTGGTGGCCCCAAGCAGCGAAGCTGCTGGGGGTGCAATGGCCAGATGTGCTTGGTGCCTGGCATGGTTGGGCTTCAAACGACTGGAGAGTGTAAGAATTTTTGGAGCGTTGTATTGTCAAAAGCAGGTTGGGGCTTGGAATCAACGTCGAACCAGAAACATAGGAACAACATGGAACAACTTTCCTATATGGTTGGCTGTTCAAGGGCCATGACCACGGTGAACGGCCATTTTGGCGGCCACGTGTTTCACGCTCTGAGGGCTACTGCCTCGATCATGCCGGACTTGGCGGTTGAGAATCCCCTCCGGCCCTGCGGCGGTCATTTTCCGAGGAGGGCCAGCAAGAAATGATTTCCTGGACCCTGGAGTTTTAGTTTTAACAGACAGTTTAGTGGATGCGGCTGAGGTTCAGTTTTTCTTTCATGACCTGATGCAGGGCTTTTGCCGTATGAAATCGATGGTTAGAAAGCACCAGAGTTGGCAAACAGAGAAAATGGGTGCTGTTTGGACGGCGTTTGTGCTGATTTTTGATTTTGGTGTGCTACGGAAGTCGGCTTTCCATTGCTGACCTTGGTTGAGAGCTGTCGCTATATTCGCAGCCCAACGGAATCGGGAGTTACGCAACATATGATCTAGGTTTCCAGCAGGTGCAGTGGCACCCTTGCAGCATTTCTTCCCCCCATCCTGCAGGAGTGAGCAGCTCAGGTTAAGCCAAAATTCTTTGGGTTGAAGGTATACACGCCCGGTCTTGAAGCTGGCACAGGCAAAATGGGCTGTCAAGATGGCAAGGCGGCGTTGGGGATTGGTGCGGATTTGAGAAGCCTTGTGGGGTACGGTAGCAGCGTCAAAAAGAAGTGGAAGAACTTGAATGCCGAATGCGGGTTCACATAGTGCGTAGATATCTAGGGGAAAGTGCACTGGCATGTCTCATCAATAGAGTGAGAGGCTTTTTGGAAATAGTTAAAAGCCAGAGGGCAGATTCTATGGCGCAGAAAGATGCAATGCCAAAGCGGTTTTCATTCACAGCACCTCAGGACAGAGCTGGTGCAACCGCTGAGGTGCTTGCCTCAACGTGCTCACCGTTTCCTTGAGGCATTTGTAGGCTTTAGGCATCTGAGATGGGACCTTTTAACGTTTCATGTGAAAGCTGAAGAGAAGTGTATGAAATCGAAGGACAACCTCCAGCAGCTTGTTTGACTTTATATGCGCCACATCAACACCCGGTCAGACAGCCTGCCCCGATGCAGCGCACCCAGACACTTGAATCGGAAAAGCGGACACGGCATGCCAAACCAAACTAATGCGCAAACAAGAACGCAAATGTGTATGTCCCAATTGCACATAATGCTCGCATTCCACATTTAAACCTCCACAAAAACCAAAAACGCCAGGCAAACTCAGCCAGCGCAGGCAACCTATCACGCATCAGGAGTTGTTGCATTTTTCTTCACTCCCTCTGGTGCCATGGAAGCTCTTCAAGAATTACTGCATGAGCATGGGCTTGGTTCTCACCAAGCCGTATTCTCACGGCTACGCTACTACGACGTGAAAGACTTGGCGAGCCTCTCGGATGTAGCACGCGATATCCTTTGCGATGCTTTGATCGACGATGGGGCGGACAAAGCCGCCTCACGAACCTTACTCAGCAAATTGCGCAGTGTCCCAAGCAGGGCCCCCCCAGCAGCCCAACGAGGACCACATTCACTTCTATGGTCTCAGTGACAGGGTCAACCGCACAGATGTCTCAGGCTTGGAGGAATCCACGGTTTTGAAGGTCGACGTCGATCCTCTCAGTGAAGATCTCGACCGAATGCATGTGCCGACAAGTGTTCTGTGCCGACTGATTCAGACTTCCAGCACAGATCCAATGCCTGTCATTTGGTTGCTGGGGCCAACAGGGGCTGGTAAGAGCTTCCTTGCGAGCACTTTCTTGCAGTCGAGGGATGGAATCTTGCCAGTGGTGGCCAGTCCCGACCAGCATGTGCCCACTTCAGCACACGTTTGCGTGCACAAAGGGGCCATTCATTCAGGTTCCAGTCGCTCAAAGCCTGTTCTGTTGTTCGACTTGGAGGGTGAGGATGGTCGAGTGCCGAAGACATTGCTGGAAGTGGGCATGCGAAAGCTCAATGTCCTCCGGATGGCTGGCCTCACAGAGGATGCCTTGAAGGAGCAGTTGGCCAACACCACCGCTCGGCGACAAGCAGTCATCAAAGAACGTCTTCCGCCATTGGCTTACCTTCTCTCAGACGTGGTGGTCTTCATTGACACGGTGGAGCCACGCAGGACGGAGAGGGCGGACCGAATCAGACGATTTGCAAAACAGGCGCACCAAGCAGTCGCTTCTTTGGCCTGGAAGCCCGCATTGATTCTCGTGCAGAACAAGTGGGTGGGAGAGTCTGACCGTGCTACATTCAACGTCAGCAAGGAATTGGAGTGGTTGCTCGAAGGATTGGAAGGGATTTTTTCCAGTGTCAGCGTCTTGCGCCTTGCCCACAGCACCCAGCGCCATCTCTTCGAGGCCAGTGTCAACGAGTTCCACGATGAGCTCGTGCGAATGGTTCAGGAAGTGCAAGATTTTCGACAAGAGCAGGGGGTGCTCTATTCGGAGCGGGAGTTTTGGTTCAGCTTCAAGCCCATGGTGACTCAATTTGGAAGGCCTGCCCCCACTGCCAGCGTTTGCAGCAGCTTGGCGCATTTCGTGTCAAGAGATTGCGTATTGTCCAGAGATGCTGCAGACAATGCGCCGTGGGCCTTCGACATGCTCACTGCCAAAGCTCGCAAAGATCAGCCAATGGATCCTCACCAGTTTCAAGAGACACTGAGGCAAGTCTTGCGGTGGTATGCATACAGCCAGGCAGCTGAGGCTCGACGTGATGGAGCAGACCTTGAGTTTTCCAAGCAAACATTTCGTGTGACATGCGAGCGGGTGATCAGCCTTTTGAAGGGCCAAGAGCCTTGCTCGGCCCATCTTCCCCATGATGATGGGAAGGCCTATCCCTGCACACAGCTTTGCACAGGTCACCTGGACTGGCACCGGAATCCGGCAATGCTCCCTGTACCGAGTCAGAACCTTGTCAAGAGAGCGGTTTCGTTTGGCCTGTGGAAGGATAGGAAACCATGCACTTGGAGAGGACCTTTTGAACCTTCCTTCGTCGTTGCTCGGGTCCTCGCTGAGTTGGAGCAAGAGTTTGTTGACTGTGTATCTCAGGATGGGCTGGCTTACCTCAATGCATTTCCTTGTGCAGGTGAGTTCGAGGAAAAGCAGCTGCGAGCCCAGGCAGACTCTTCAGATGGTATTTGTTGGCTTTGCCTTCGTGTGGATTCAGAGCAGGTCCGCCTCAAACATGACCTTTGCCGGCATGCCCTTTGTCGAAGATGCGTTATCACCCGCATGATGCTCCTCGGCCCTGAGAACACAGAAATTGTTTGTCCCTTCTGCAAGTTGAAGTCTGAGGGGCAGTTTCAATCCGGACACGGCGACAATGGCCTCCGTCTTCTCTCGCTTGACGGTGGTGGCGTCCGAGGAATCATTGAGGTCCTGGTTCTGAAGCATCTTGAAGATGTGTGTTGAGCCCTTGACCCTCACATCAATGTTCGACATCGTGATCGGAACGTCGGCAGGTGGTCTGATCGCCTTGGCGATTATGTCGCAAATCCCTTTGACACGCCTGGAGGCACTGTTGGAAGAGGTTGCGAAAGACATCTTCTCGGCCCATCCACTACGAAAGGCACTTCGAATGGTGACTGGCGGGGCTATGTGCGATACACAGCAATTTGAGAAGGTATTGCGGGGTTTGTATGGCGAAGCCCGAAGCACCACCCATTATCGTGGAGAAGGGCCGCCTTTTGCCTTTTGTGTGTCATTCGATGTGCAGGCGGATGAGACCTGCATTGTTGGAAACTATCCTATGCCGTTTCTTGGCACCACCAGTTTAACAAGCTTCTGTCACGCGAATCTGTGGTTAGCAGCCCGGTGGACCACAGCAGCTCCCACTGTCTTTGACTCAGCCTCCGTGAAATTTGTGTTCGAACGGCGAAATCCAAATGGGACGAATGAAATCATAAACCATATTGCTGAGATGGTTGATGGTGGTGTTGTTGCCAACTGCCCTGCAGCGCTGGGCGTGAAGACCGCCACCGAGATTCAATGTGCATCCAAGGGCTATGACGACAAGATCGTGGAGTGCATTGCTTCGATTGGCACTGGTCTGCCTGAGCCGTCTGTGGCACTGACAAAGATGAACGCCCTGAGCTGGGCAGGGGAAGCTCATCGACATGGCTACGGATTCGGAGAGATTATGGAAAGAAGGAATTGAAGATGTAGCCGAGCTTCAATCCGTGCCTAAAGTTCGTGTGAATCCTCCTGGGCTGGGATCCTTAGATGCTTTTGCAAGTGACTCCATACCAAAGCTGCGCCAAGGTATGGAAGAGTACTTTGCATCCAACTTAGGCAAGGAGCAGATGGGAAAGCTCATTCACATGACATACGCAAAGCTCTATGAGGTAAAGCAACGTGAGGGCCTTGTTGCAGGAGGCGATCAAGTCAGCTTCCACATCCAGATGCAGGATCCTCGCTGCGATTTTGGTGCCATGCAGGAGGAGGAGCTGAGGGACATCATCGTGAAGAGGCACCAGGGACTCGGTGAACATCTTTTGAATCAGTGCACCAAGCAGGAGCTGTACAAGATGGCAAAGGAGTCATTTGAGAGCAAGCCCTTCATTCACAAGTTTGAAGGCTGCTTTGCATACCGCTTTGCCGGACAAGAGTTCGAGCTTGCTGATGGTAAGACCGAGTTCAAGCTGGCCCACTCACGGCCAGGCGCCCCTGAACTGGACGTGTTTTGGCGCAGTGTGCATGGTGACATCTCTCTGAGTGGCTTCCCTCGTGTGGTGCGGGTGAATGATGCAGATTGCGCCGGTGGCACCCATTAGATTGCATGAGCACAACGATGTCGCGAACAGTGATGCTGCTGGCTGGCTGGGGTGCTAGACTGGAACCATTTCCTGGTCTATGGGGGTGCAAGCTTCGCGGCCGACCTGTTCACATGACACCATATGAAACTTGTTCTGCGCAGGAAAATAGGCAGGCCACGTAGTGAGCATCTCCAAGTTCCCTTGCGCGCTCTACCGTCCTAAGATGATTGCAAGCATTTGCGGGCATTTTGTTGGCCCATCGGCACAGGTCAACTCTCCTTCACTGCAGGGAGGGCCTGCTTTCGCCGCCATCGTTGCGCAGAGGCACGGCAAGGGTTTGTGGCCATCATGTCACCTTTTGAGCGTGGCACATATGTGTGATTAGCTGCACACGGTCATGAACATGGTCCCCACTGCAGTTGCCAATTCCTCATCGGTCATTGCCGCAGGTCTTCCAATGAGACCGGCCTCGCATTGACTGATGTTGGCTTTTTTGGGCCCGGATGTGCTACTTGTGCAGGCTAGTGCTCATGGAGTCGGTTGGCATTAGGTCATTCGTGCAATCTACAGTTTCACACGTAGCTTTCTCAGACGGGCAGTGGGCAGCTTAAAGGACAAAGGCATGTGCGTTTTCTAGCATCAGATTGATCAACGAGCTCTCAGGTTTGTGATGTCAGAAACCAGGAAATCAAGTATGCAGTTCGTGTTTTTTGGACCAGCTTTGTTAGAACTAGAGATGAGCAACATGATGAGAACTTGCCAACAAATTCCGCGGCATCCAGATGATGCTTTGGATGTTTTAGGCTTTGAAGTGGCTGAGTTGTGAAGTTGGCAGCTGCAGAAAAAACGGACAGCATGCCAAGCCCCTGTGAAGAAGACAAAGCCAGAGTCCAAGCAACAGGTGAGACAGACCCGATACTGTACCATCCTCGAAAGCTGGCAGAACAAGGTTCAAACCAAACTTGAGTCTGCAGCCCTCAAGGCATTCTTGCATCTCTCAGCCTGGGCCGCAAAACCCGAGATCTGTACTTCAGCTGGGGGCAGTCCAATGTGAAGGAAGCTAACAAAAGCAAACCACTGAATTGGATGTTTGGCGATGGCGACATCAGTGGGACTGGCATCACAAGCGCTGGCATCAATTGGGCTAGCAGCGCCGGGGCTAGCGCCACAAGGGAAGACGGCATCACAGGCTGCTGAAGAGAAGGTGGAAGAGGACCGTTGGGGGTTTCACGTGGATTCATTGTTTCGTCTTTCTGGGGGTGATGGATCAGTTTCGCCCTACATTTCCCCCCCATGCAGCCGGTCAGCACCTTGAACATACAAGACTTGACCAGGGGCCTTGATCCAAATTGCCTGGACGTGCTGAGTGTGTGCCCAAGCTGCCTAGCATGGATGTCATGCCTCCAGGACTTTGCCGAATTGATGAAGCCCGACATCATCCCCAAGCTCTGGGGGAAAGTTGCCGCACAGGCGCGGCAGGAAGGGGCACCAGCCATTTGCGAGTGTCCTTCTATCCGTAATGCCCAAAATCGATCGATCTCCTTGGTACTGGGGCTCTGAACGAAATCAAGAAAAATTGTACAACCCGAGCATCTCCTATGTTTGGGACGACTTCTTCATAGTGGCCACCACTTGTTGAACAGTTTAACGATCCATGAATCACTAGGGAGCCTCACCAAGAGCCATTCAAAGCTCACAAGGTGCTTCACCAGGGGCCCAGGTAGCCCCATCCAACCCTACTGAGCTGCGTCTCACGGTGTCATTGCAGAGGTCATGGACGATCCGTATTCCAAGGAAACGGCGGCTTGGATGGCAGAGAGCCATGCTGGTGTCAGGCTGTAGCGGCACAAGCAGCTGCCAGGTGACAGGTGACAGGTGCTGCATAAGTTGTTTGTGGAACTAGCTGTGTGATTGGTGAATTGGTGACTGTCACGCTTTCTTGGTGGCTCCACAATATGTGACTCAGGGTACCCCAAGCGGAGTAGAAAGCTATTGAAGCTGTTGGCAACTCTCAAGGTTCAGGCGGCCGTCGTGCGGGATGGGCGGGCACTGGCTCATGCGGCCCCACCGCTGAAGCAAGACAAGGAGGCAAGACGTGGATTTTTGTGGCGTGAGAATTCGGCTGACACCCTCTTTCGGAGGAAGTATTCATTTGACACGTCTCAGGTGGTGTCAGCCAGGTTCTAGTGTGTTTTTCGTTTGTTTGTGCGGGAAGCGCCTTTTGTCCAAGAGGCAGTTCTTGATGTTTTGTGCCCTTAGAGTGCTGTGGCTGTGCGACGTTGTTGTTTTCTACCCCTGGCAGGTGGTTCTGAAGGCTGTGCAGGCCGATGGAAGTGCTTTGATGTTTGCTTCCGAGGAGCTACAGCGAGACAAGGAGAAGATGGGAGGGCGAAGCTCACAGGGTGATAAACTGAGTAGGAGTTTGTAAGGAGTTGTCCGACTTTGCAATGTGTCTCTATCATGGTAGTTTGGGTGGTTCATCACATGGCAGTGCAGGCCCCAATAGTCTTGTGGCGAATTGAGGCACCCGCCAAGTCGAGATGTTCTAATCCAAAGCAACATTTGCCTAGGCCCTAGGCCAGACCAGTGTTTGAAGTATTTGTGGGCATTTGTGGGCCACAGTGCTCACTCTGAACTCTTTCCTTCTCTCTCACACCGATCACGGGGAGGAGGTGGTGCTGGCCGCTGTATCCTGTGACGGGCAAGTGCTGAGCTCTTTGGTTTTGATGGCCAGCGGGGTTTTGGTGTGGAACTATCGCCCAACCTTCGGATTGTTCAACTTCATTCTTGAGTGATGCCCCCCTAGCAGCCGTGAACCTCCCAGCTGTGACCCTTTAGTTTCTTGTGGTCCATGCAGAAGCTGTTCTGTCCACCTAGTCCTATCCGGTCCCAGCCGCTTGATTTGTGAATTCGACTCCATGAGAGCCCACTGGCTCGCCTCGAGGCTTGGCCACGGCGCTCATTGCTGACAAGGAAGTGGCGGGGATCTCAGAAGCGACAGAGGATATAACACCACGGTTGTGGTTTCAACTTGCTGACGTCTATGCTGTGCTCATCTGTGATCCATAGCAAGGCGCAGCAACTGGCGCATGTAAGAAAATTGAAAGAACCTTCACTTTCGACTGGAATTGGAACTTGGGTGACCAGGGTGTGTCTCCAAGGCCTTGGCTGCTGTGAAGCAAAGTGGCAAGGCCTTGCAACACTGCTCCGAGCAGTTGAGGAATGATGAGGAGAGCTGGGTTGGGAAGCAAGCAGAGGGTCGGACAGTGAAGGTTGGAGCATGTAACGAGGATCTCCAGATTCATCAGTTGTTATTTTGCATACAGTGGTACAGCATACAGTTGGACATGCCTTTTCATGGGGTGTATGTGGCCGTGAGGTGTGGCGTGCTACCAAAGCTTCCTTGAAGATAGTAGTTGTGTTGGGCTTTGGCGCAGAACTTCCGGACGATCTACTGACTTGGTGGTGAACGAGCTGGAGCAAGACCCATCCCCCAAGGAAACATGCCAAGTCCTTATAATTGCTCTCAGCCCAGTCCTGGCCATCGTTTCCCAGGCATGAAAGGTGTGTGATCCACAGGGCCTGTGCAGTTGGCCCTCTCTGTTGAAGAGGAGAAGCATATATAGAGAATAACAAGATGCCTTCTATTCTTCTAGAGTGCTGCTGAAGCCCTCGATAGGTAATTGTCAAGAAGGTGATGCCGGTCTTAAGCTACTTCCCCAAAAAACTCAGCTCTTCCATTCCTGCACCATCCCGCCCCATCCCGTCTCCCACAGGATGTGTGTCTGGCGGCAGTCCAGCAAAATGGCCGTGCGCTGCGCTACGCCAGCGAGGGCCAACGTTTGAACCGCGTGGTGGTCGATGCGGCCATGGAGAACAACACAGCCACTGTTCTCCACTGGCGCGGTGGGAAGGGCTTGGGGAGGGTCAACTATACAGTCTTAGACAGGTTTGGGGGATGTCATTTTGGATTGTTTGGGATTCGTCAAGTCAAGTTGCCATACAATCCAAGAATCTACCTTGCCTTTATATATATATATATAGATATATTGGTTCTCTTTTCTGTATTTGTGGGAACTGGACTTCCTGCTGGCCATGTGTGGCAGAGTGGCATTTGTTAGTGAGAAATTTTGAGAAATGGAATTCAGCTATTAAAACATATTCAGAACCCTCACTCCTTTTCAATGTTCACGGGTGGTTGTTCAAGGCGAACCCCCTGGGAGATCAAGAGCAATTGATACGTGCAGAGGTGTTGCGGATGATGATGTTGACTCTTTGACCAGTTTCACCAGGACTTTGTCTGGGTTGTAGCATGTTGCAGCTCAGGAAGCATTGCCCTATACGACTGGCGAGCTTAAGCAGGCATCCTTTGTTAGGGGTGGCCATTGGGCTGGTGGTCTTTGTCCGGGATCAAACAGGATGTTTTTTAGCCGAACGCGGCTAGCACCACGACGGTTTCGCAAAGAAACTTCTCGCAGAAGAGTTGAAGGAATCAATTTCACTCACCAACTCATGGAGCTTAATCGAGAGCCGATTTTCAGGGTGTCCATCCTCCAGATGCGCCTCAGCCCTAACAGCCACACCCTCTTTGTGACAGAATGTGTGTTCTGGCAGCCTGGCTGCTCCGCTCAGCTTGAGCACCAGGAGTGGGAGGAGATCTTGACCAAGCGATGGAAGGAGCAGGGCTTCCATTTGCAACGGCGGAAAGCCGGGCAAATCCTAAGAGCGCAGACCTTGGCTGCCTAGGCGTAGCCAGAAACATGCCTAAGGTGCTCGAGCCCATGGCAAGTGACACATTTGACCGTGACACGCAGCAGTTGATCTCGGACTACATCTAGGTGAGAGTAAACCAAGAGCCCATGGAGGGCTTTTGCTCACCAATAAGTGTAGACGCATTTTTGACATATACAACCTTTACTAGGTATGTTTCTGTTTGAGGTTGTCTGAGACGTGATGTGTGTTGATTTTCCGTGGCCCAGTGGCTGCAGCCCTCCCCAAAGAAAAGTCGTTTGGAGGAGGCTGGTTTCACAGAAAGGCTTCATCAAAGGCATGCAGCCAACCGATGGCGTTGATGCTGGACGGTCAAAAATAGATCCGGGAACGGGAAAGGCGGCAGTTGGATTTGTTGAATCTGCTGGATAATGAGCAGACGTGTTGGCCCCTTCGAGCCTTGGGATGTGGCGAAGATCAAGCATGTGAGCACCATGCGTGACCCTCCAAGTCAACGCATGTGAGCACCGCGGTCCCATCGGTCAGGCAGAGCTCAGAGTGCTGACGTCAACCTGCTATGTTCGAACTTTGGCATCGTTGGCTCCTAAGTGAGGTTGCAGTACATGACATGCATGAAGTGTCAAACGGACAAGGCTCAGGAGGGACCCTTTACGGGATGAATCTTGTCCACAGGAACCTAATTATATACATGAAGCAACCACAAGCAACCCAAATCCCATCATCTCAATACAACTCAACATCAGTCTAATTCTCAACAAGCAAGATTGCAAAGATTGAAACTTCCAAGCAAACACATCCAACCGCAATCACATTCAAAGTTGATCACCATCTTCTTCAGCACGCACCGCCGCTGGTTGAAGACGTCCCCCGAAAAGATCTGCTGCTCCCGATGGCTTCGGTGACAGAAACGCTGGAGATCTTCGGGAAGAGATTGCAAAGCTTTGAGAGCTGCAACGCTGGCTGCCAAGTGTGACGCCTGGCGCATGGGAGGTGAGTAGAGCCGGTGGCGGGGTGGTTGGAAAGAGAACTGTCCTCGTTAGTCCGTGGGCCACTGGTAGTTGGGGCTTTTTTGAGGCTTGGAGTAAAGCAAGTGTACCTCGAAGCAGCCCACCGACCTCTTTGATGGGTCTTCGGTCGTTGGTACGGGACATGGCCCGAGCCCGGGGGGTGTGCGGTCTGGCCGGACCGATCGGATTGGTCCAGCGGCATCCCAGGCGACCGATGGAGACTATAGACTAATTATAGCTGCCAGGTAGGGTCCTTTTGGGTGCATCTGTTACAGTAAACAATGATCACTATATCGTTGAACAAGGCCTTTACAAACCATCATCATCCACTGGTTACTGGTAGACCCGGATAGACCCAATGCCATCGCATTAGTCGGTCCTTTGAGGTGCTCAGCTGGCGCTGGAACATGGCGAGGCGCAGGATGCGATGCTTTGGTCACAGGGTGCGTCCTTGTGCCCCGACAGGATCCGACAGGGACAGCGTCATCATGTTTAGTAAGGGTATTTTTTTGCTATGACATCACTCAACAAACTGGTGGTTTGGGCCGGTGTTGCTAGGTCTTTGCGTTTTCAGTCCCGAATTGTTCTCATTTCACCTGCTTGGGAGTGGATCATACACCCCACCATCACCACCAGTTGCCTCTTAGCTCCAAGGTATTTCGACTTCGATGACCTGGATGACCAAGAGACCAACATGGGCGGCGAGCCCGAGGTAGCCATCTCGGAGTTGAAACCCTCCAAGACTAGGCAAGGACAGCTTTGGAAAGTCATGGTGGCTGACCAGATTGAAATGATATCAATTGGGACCATAAGGAATTTCATTCCCTCGTTGCATCTTCCAATGTCTTCCTGCATCACCCTGCCCACTTTGACCCACTTAGGATTCTTTCTCAAAAACTCAAAGCCCTGGCGATTCGGTGCTTTTGGTTCCGGCAGGTTGGTGGACGGCTTGGTGAATTTGAAGATCCTCGCAGTACCCTGGCACCACGGTTGTCCTCGGAGCGAGGAGGGCCAGGAGGGCGGCACCGGACGGCGGTTTTCACTCGAGGAGATTCGGTGGCCACTTATGGATGGCTGGAGCGTCAACGAAAAATGTCTGTGACCACAGGGTCCCTTCTGCATCATGTATGATCATGTATGTAGATATGCAAGTATGTAGGTTTGCTTGCGACATCATGCGACCAAAGTCATGCATTTTCCTTTGAGCACTTTTTGGGGCGGTGCAGGTTAGACTCTTTCCAGAACATATTGCTAAATATATATATATATATATATCACTGATAACACCCAGTGATAAGCTGATAAGCTCAGATTCTTCCGCGACTGCTCCAGATGGCGCCGAGGCCATGACCGGCTTGGAAGTGTGCAAGTTGGCGAACACCGCTATGAGCACCCCAATCCGAGCCATTAAGGACCGCTAAGGACAACTCAACTGAAAAGCCCTTGGAAGCATCGAATTCGGGTGATTTCTCACGGAGGGTTGCATGTTCCAAGTAGGGTCGCATGACTCCGCATCCGCATTTTCTGTAAGACTTGGCGTAGTGCGACACTGTCGGTCGAAGATGCCAGAATGCAGGAACCATTGGCAAGCTTCTCATCTCACACAGACTGCTACCAGCGGCACTCCTCTCCACACACAGAGACCGGGTGCTCATGCTCCCAGAGACCGGCAGGAGCGCGTGGAACGGCTGGAGGGCACGAAATTGCAGATGCAGAAGCTGGTGGCTGTGAACGGCCAGGTGAGCGGAAGTCGAAAGGGTACAGTAGGAACAAGTGCATCGCCACTAGGAACAAGTGCATCGCTACTAGGAACAAGTGCATCGCTACTAG